GACCTGAGCCGAAGGCAGTCGCTTAACCAACTGAGCCACCCAGGTGCCCTATCATTTACTCTTAATATTTAATCTAAGAGTAATTAAAGAGCTCTGATTCATGCCACTTAATGGGCCACGTCCACAAGGAGGCCTAAGTCGGGATGATGCAGAATTTCTGAGAAACCACTTGGGGCAGAGACCACCTTGCAGGGAGCATCTGTAATTCAGGAGGCGGCACTCTTCCCTCTGTTGCACTGGAACTCACGGTGTGATTCAGAAGGGACCAAGCTCACGGATAGCACTTTGGTATCAAAAGTGCCTTGAGTTCTTCTGATCCTCTCAGCGGCCTTAATTATTCAGCATCACAGCCTTTCCATCCATTTCGACCATTAGGGTTGCATTTAAGGGCCGCATTGCACTCCCCGGGTGTCTCCTGCTAACGCAAGTCAGAGTCGAAACATTAATACCCATCACCGTGAAACTGTGTGTTTCCAAGGTCTCACTTAAAGCGTCCGTTTCTGTTCTGTTTCAGGACAAGGGACGGCCACGTCCAGTTCTGGACAGCTCCTCGGGTCCTGTCCTCACTGAAGCACTTATGCCGGAAAGCCCTTCGAAGTTTCCTGACCACCTACCAAGTGCTAGCACTGCCGATCCCCAAGAAAATGAAAGAGTTTCTCACATACAGGACTTTTTAAGCCACGCGCCATAGTCTTACTTGTTTGCTTGTAGCAGGAACAAGCTTCCTGGCAGAGGAGTAGCTGGGAACGATGGGCCAAACAGCTGGTCTTCGACTGAAATAGAATTTCTCTTTGAGACGGTGAGCAGAGTGTAGCAAAAGCAGATGCTGGCAGACTGGTCATCCAGGTGTTCCTGTGTGACCTGTGGCAGTCAGTCATAGAGGGGCTCGCAGCCTTACCTGAAATCCTCAGCCCACTAACAAATGGCAACATCAGACACTTTCTCAAGTCCTTCCGATTCAGAGTGCAGTGACTCATGTTGATTTGATAAGCAGAGTAACCAGGCCTCGAGAGCCTCTCTGCTGGGGCAGGTTATTCCCTTGACCGGCGAGTGGGCAGGTGTTGGCTTGTGCCTAGTACTTGTCATTGTCGTGTTTCAGACGCAGTGGTGACGTTGTTTAAAAAGTTCTCTCCTGCCGTGTCGGAGTGGCTTTGCTGTTGGCAAGTGCTTGCCTTCCTCGAGCTCCCCTCTGACCAGCAGGACCGAGTTTTCATGGAGCCGTCTGCTGGGAGGTCGGAGCTAGATTACAGGGCACTCAGAGGTGTGCTCCTGACTGATACACTAGAAACGGCTTTTTTTTTTTTTTAATCAGTGGTGTGCATGTGCTGGAGATGACAAACGTGTGTGTCCGGGTACCCGGGGACGTATTCCTCAACTGCATGACTGTCCAAACGGCGGCTGACTTGTCAGCAGCTTGCTGTTTGCAGCCTATTTATTTGTATTTTCTCAACAGATGTTAAGGTACAACTGTGTTTTTCTCCCTGGTATCTAAAAACTATAGTTCTTAAGTCGAACAGTTGTGAAGATGTCTCTTCTTCGTTGTGTAGAGAATTGGTGTTCTCGCCGCCTTGGCAAGCTGAATGTCATGTACAAGGTCTGACTTCGCTGCTTTGCCTCATCGGACCAACCAGCCCGGTTCACCCCTTACCAAAAACAGCTCCTTGAAAGTACTGTTCTCCTTCAGTGGCGTGTAGTTCTCTGATCAAGACACCTCATTCCAATGAAATCTGCCTTTGAAAAATTTAATATATTTTAAATTATTTTAAAAGAAATGCAACATCTTATCCTTTGGCTTTCTTACTAGGTGCTTTGTGGAGGCCAGTGTTAACGTGATAAAACTTGTTGCAAAAGTACAAGAGTCTCCTCTACCACTTTTGTTGCTGAAGAAAAACATTTCTTTTCAAGATGAGAGGCTTTCATTGAAGGAAAAGTTAAAAAGCTTTCGGCTCACTGTTGCATTTTTCCCACTAAGAAAAAAAATACCCACCTTTTAAAACAAGTGAGTACAGCAGGACAGTGGGGAACGGCTTGGGCCAGTTTTACACTTTGTGGTCATCTTAAGGCATCCCAGCGCAGCCTGAGAGGTTCTGGGTGGCTTCCCCGAGGCCCCGTCTGGCCATTAGCTGCAAACTTAGCTCGGGGTTCTCGGGGAGCGAGGTGTACGTGGATGAGGCAAATAACCAACCTCTCCCTTTTGATAGTCTGAGAAGCTGACACCTTTATAGAGAGCAGCCTCCGAAGTAAGCTTGTTCTGTGATAGCGGAGAGGGGGAAGGCTTTTTCACATAAACGCAAGGTAAGTCAGCATCTTTCTAACTGGTGAAGGAAAGAGTAGCTCGTAAACAGCCAACGTGCAAGCTGCTTTATTTTTATGGAGAAGAACACTCAAAAGGGCAGCCTGTTTGCTGTGAAAGAAACTGCTACCCTGTCCACAGGGCCCCGTCCTTCCCGCACGTGTCGGTGCCCGGCCCGGCCCCGGGCTCATCTGCCCTGCCTGCGTTAACAAGGGAGTACTGTGAGGCCTTGCCCCCCGCGGGCGTAAGATGACGCTTTGCTGTCTCACCACAATTAGGAACCTGCTTGTAGAGGAGAAATAAAAAGACGTTTTTAAAGGAAGACAGTTAACTGAGCCCGTTTATAGGAGTACAATAGTTTGGACCAGAAATCGACGCACACCTATTTTTTTTTTTCATTGACACCTATTTAAAGCAGATCCAGAGACCGGGCCGCAAATCAGGTTTATGCACTTAGTTGTGGAGCTGTTCTGTTTACCTTGAGTTAGAAAACACTGACACCACGGGAGATTGGGAAGCCTTCGGTTCTAGACCAAAATGGGGCAGGCAAATTTCCTGTCATCCAAGCAACGGAATGATAAAAGCTTTAAGGCTAAAAGAAAAAAAATCTCTTTGCGCTTTCTTTTCCGCCCTAAGACACAAGTGGGCAGCAGTAAGAGAGCTGGGCGTTAAAACTGTTTTGTACCTGCTCCAAACGGCCACAAACACAGTACTTTTTAAACCTTTGCCCACCCAGGCCTGGAACAGGGTTTTCCAAAGCTTGGGGCGATCGGGCTTCAGTCCCCAGCCGTAACTCAGTCCCCTGTTGTCCAGTCACCGTGGGGCCTGCGAATCGCAGCAAACAGGCTTAGCATTTAGGCCTCTGTGACAATCAGGTCCCTGGTGACCTGGAAAGCGGCAATGAGGGAACTCAGCTGAATCTTCTCGTTGGTGCCAGCAGAGAGTCTGTACCTAAAAGAAGTCAAACAAAAGGTAAGAATAGAGAGTATCACGGGACAGCTGCCTTTTGACAAGGGGACGAGAGACAGCAAAGACAGGGACAGTGTGCTAAAGGAGGAAAGCAGGCAATCAAACTTGATCTTGGACAAGGATCTTCAGTGTGTCCGCTGACGTTCTCCTCTCTGCCCTGAACACTCACTTATAAATTCCACTCAAGCTGGTAAGGAAAAATTAAATTAAAAAAACTGTTATCAATGGCAGTGTTCGGAAGTTTGTGCTAGCCGTCTAGACATATACAGAATTTAAGTGATAAGGATTTATTTCTTCACTCACAAAATGTACTGAGAGATTTCCTTCCTCTTAATTCACTTGAGAATGGGGAACTGTGGTTCTGTGGTCTAGTTAGTAAAGCAGGACACTGGTGGTTCATCTTGCCACCTTCCCAGTGCCCAGCCAGTGAAAGCAAAATCATGACATTCGTCACGTAGGGAGAAGTGACCTCATGTGTGAGTGTGAAAGCCAGTGAGAGCAAATTAGAGTCGGTCCGTGTTGGCATCTGTTTAGAACCCAGTGCTTCTGTCCACTTAAATGATAGCTGCCAGCTTCACTGGGGGCTAATAACTGTTTATGGAACCAGGCAAAGTGGAAAATTGAGTTTCTGTTTACTTTGCCCCCCAATATGCTTTGCTACGCCAAAATGCTTTAATAACAGCTGGATAGCTGGTTGTCCCCAAATGACCTAGATGTCGGAACTGAAGCAGGCCTTCCAGATAACGGCACTTCTAGAACCAATGTGGACCAAGCCTTTGAGGTCTAAGGAGAGGCCTTTATCTCCCAGTCCGTTACTGAGCCGAACCTGTCCTTGTGTTCATTCATGTATTCTTTAAACAAGCAAGTCATACCCTTCCCATGTTTCTTTCAGTGATCCCACCAAAAACTAGACTGTGCCATATAGGAATGAGGTAGACAAGAAAGTTGGAACCAAGCAAGTAGAAAGAAAAAATGCACAACAGGGTTAAAAAAAGGAAAGCAATCAAAATTGGGAAGTACTCACTCTGTGTCTGCCATTTTGGTCAATAAATGTACTCGAACTGAAGATGGAAAGTCAACTGTGAGGAGAAACAAAATCAAATCAGTGAGGGTCTGCCCCTTCCTACTACCAAAAAAAAAAAAAATCCCACGACAATTATGAGCTTAAACATCAGAGGACACTACACTTGTCTGGAGGCCTCAGGTCACTGGCTGCCACACCTCTAAGGAAGTGAACACTGGATGAGTTCAGTTTTTATCCATCTTGTGAGCAGGTTCCAAAGCGATCCCAAGAACCCGGAAGAGGTACCAATATTGCGTTAGCAACGGGGCAGCTCTAGGAGTGAACCAAGTTCACTCTAGGAGTGAAGCCAAGTTCTCACACGCTGTCCCGATTTTAAAAACAAATCTACTGATCCAAATCTCTGTTCATACTCATTTTCCACAATCAAAGTGCAGAGCTGGGCTCCAGCCGACCACGCTCATGGGCAGCAGTTACCACGCCAGTCGGCCCAGGGGAGGCCCGCGAGGCACGGGCGGAACATTCCCGGACCCGACTGTCCATGTGCAGCCAGCTGTTGGCAGGGGGACAGCTGCTCTGAGGAGGCTGTGCAGCAGGTCACCCGGAGAGCCTGAGAAAATCCTGATGCCCAGCTCCCCGCAAAGGCCAAGTGAATGGGTCTGGGGTGACGCCTACGTGCTGCCAAGGTTGAGAACCAGGTCTGTACAGAAGATACGGCCGAGTGTGGAACTTAAGACGGTTTAGTTAAGACTGCTCTGCTTTACCCCGTGGATAGACGTTCCTCCTCTTTCTCTCCTTTCGGGGGAAAATACCCTTAGAAACGTGAATTAAAACATACCATTTACTCCTGTAAAATACAAACCCTTGGAGGAGATAGTTAGCCCTCCGGAGCTGCTTGCCCAGGAGGTTCAGAGGTTAAGAGTCGTTTTGGAACAAAGTTGTAAACAGCAACAAGAGAAAACTAAAACTGCGGGGCCAGGTTTATACTTCGCTCCTGTTTCTCTGCTTCGAAAGCGAAGCCTCATGTTCCCTCACTCCCGCTCTCAACTGCCCCACTCCCCTCCTCCCGCAGCTTCTCGACTAGGGAAGACCGTGAGTTACCCCTGTGCACGAACAAGTGTATCTCTGTCAGGATGTCCTGTAGCGCCAACCCCTTCAGGGTTTTCAACTCCATAATATCTAGAGAGGAACAGTTAAGGCAAAGGGCCAGCTTCCGGAACAAACGCGCTGCACAGAATTTTGAATCCCAACTCCAGTGGGGGTGACTTCTGGAAGGAGGGCTTCTAACCCCACCGTGGCAGATGCTCTCAATCCAGCTGCGCCAAGTGGGCTCCAATTCTTGCCTCTCCTAGGTTTGCATCTTCCATAGGGGCTTTCCGATAGAACTGTCTCTGTCTAGTAGCGGGCAGAGCCGAATGCGTCCCCCAGAAGGCCTCCTGTCACCGCCCCTGGCTTTGAACTTCACAGCCAAACACGAGTAGCGCCGGCCACTCAAGAACGATCGCATCTGCCGCCCCCAACCCCAGTGTCTAACTGCTGCTCTCATCCGCGAGCAAGGCGGCCTCAAGCTGTACCCATGTCAGAGTCCTTCAGGAAGAACTTTAGGGCATTAAAGACGAGGACCCGCCCCACCCACAGACCCCGTGTTTCCACAGCAAGCGGCTCAGACCCACGAGCAGCCAACCGTCTTTGGCCAGCAGGGTGTAGACGCCGGCTGCAGCCTGGACTCCTGGGCCAAGCTCGGGCCTCACGTACATCCCGCACCGACCGCGGCACCCGAGGAAGGATACTTCTGTAGGCTGTGGTGAAGTCTTGATTCAACATCCAGTCCAGAATGTTGGCAATGTCGGACTTGAGGGGGTGCCCAGTGCAGGTGTAGACCGTCTCCTCCGTCACCTTCCCGAAGGCCATGTTGGTGCTCTGCGCAGGAGGGGGAGAATCGTGGCTGTCACAGTGGCCACCACGCTGCAGGCGGCTCCAGAACCCTTCCCTAGCTTTCCCTGGTTTGCAGCACGTTACTCTCGCAGTTACTCAAAACCCCGAGGTGGGGGGAAGTCGTCGGTACATGGGGAGATCGAGATCTTACCAGGTTCTCGATTTCTGACCTTACAGGTTGGCTGTGTGCTGCTTTTGTCTTTCTCGAAAACCTCTTCCGAAGCAGCGGCTCGAGACCTGCTGCAGTGGTTCCGTACCTGCAGAATGTTCAGAGCCCTTCGCATATCTCCGCTGGAAAGGGTCACGAGGGCCTTCATCCCGTCCTCACTTAGGTCCACTCTGAGAGGAAAGAGGCAGGAGGAGGTCAGGGGCCCTGAGAGAGCACGAGCGTTCAGCCAGGGGATGACTAAGGCTTTGAAATAATGAAAGGGAAGGACAGAGTAAACAGTACTCTCCCGATCTATGGTGGGCTCTCGAATTCACTCTGGTCTTTGGGGCTGTGGGCTTCACATTAGCAGTCACCGCCCACTCCCAAGTCGGGAGCGAGCCTCCCTGAGGCCCAAGCATTGCTGTGTTGAGCAACGGGCTTTGAATTCTGTTCTCCGAGAGGCAAGCGCGCTGGCGAGAGCTGCAGTCACGGAGGCAGACCAGCCCCTTTCACAAAGCAGCAGCTTGGGCTGGCTACGGGCCTGGCAACTGACGGTACAGAAGGTAATGTCTCAGTACCTTCCCTCCTAGTCCCGAAAGGCTGGAGGCATCTTAGCAGAAGAGACTCTGGCAGCACGCCGTTGCCAATGACAAAAGAAGAGTAGGAGGAAGTCAGGACGGCTTCCAGGGGAGGAGGATGGAATCAAGAGAGGAACCAAGTGCCTTTTACGAAGACTGTCCATGAGACGCCGGGGAAGAGGATAGCAGCTCGCAGACCCCGATGCTGACTCTGTGCCAGTCACCCTCCTTAGCTCTTTACACGCCTTATCACCTTCAACTGCAGACCAGCCAGCCAGCCCAGGGCCCTGCCCACACCCCCCCAGTCCTAAGGCCCTGGGCTTTCCTGCTTTCCCTTGTACTTACTTCTCTTCTTCTATGACGTGCTCCAGGCGGGGGACCATGAGTTCAGGAGTCAGGGGGCCAAATCGGAACCTTGTACACCGGGACTGCAGGGCGGGGATGATCTTTGACAGGTAGTTACAGATGAGGCAGAATCTGGTATTCTCAGTGAATTTCTCAATCACTGGCAAGGGAAAAGAAAACCAGCTCCTGTCTGTTCTGAGCCTTCCAGAGCCCTGGAGGCCCCACACTATTCCGAGCTCACGTGCACAAGCGGAGGCCATCCACAGGGGTTGGAGAGCTCCAGGAGCGAGGGGCTGCGGCGGGGGTGGCCAGGACTGGAAGCCAGCCGCGCTCCTCCCCAAAGCTGATGGACACGCCACCTCGACGGGATTTTATAAAATGCTTCCCTTCCTTCTCATGTGCCATGATTCTGGCGTTCTTGCCATATTCCTGTCCTTTTGCATAAAACTCCACTTGGCAGGTTGATGATGCCCCACCTTCTAATGGTGGGGGAGGGGGGTGGCTTGTTGCGGACTTCCCAGTGGACTCTGTCTCGAAGCCTTAGAGCATTCGACAGAGTGCTAACTCGAATTCAGAAAGCTTAGGAAATACCGGGTGCATTCTGTAGTTACCCGATGTTCTTGCAAGGGGACCTGCCCAGACTGATAGTCACTGTGCAGAGCAAATGTTGAAGAAAGGCTGCCAAAGCTTTTAAGATCAGAAGACACTCTAACTGTCCTCCTCCTCTTAAACCCACTCCTTCTCCCCACAAATCTGCAAGACCGCTCCTCTCTCCTAGCTGATTACCTCAGAATCTTAATGCGAGAGATTACCAGTGTCCTTTCAAAGAAATCCACTGCACCAGGGCCCTTAAGATAGACAACTCACATGATACTCTCCACCCCTTGGCAAATAGAGAAGTCACGTCAGCTTTCTGAGTGCGACTATGTTTCCAGTATTATTTTCCCGGCTACTGTCTTATCTCAGGGTACCGAGAGCAGAAAAGTCTACCCAGCAGTTTAGGAAAGACAGACTTTCCATACCTCCTCCACTCTTTCTAAGAATACAAATTCCCAACCCCAAATTGAACCCCGTGGAAGAGGAGGATGGGACACCAGGGTCTGGTCAGAATTAAAAGTCCCACCAGGGCCTCTATCTTTAAGCTGCTGAAAGGGGAAACCCCCAGTACAGAGAGCTTTGGTCTAGATCCTCAGGTTGGCTACACACAGAGAAAGGTCAGCAGGTTTCTCTGGGCCGGAAGATGAAAATGGTCAACAAGCCAAGACATGTCTCACGTCCAAAGCTCCTGATTCTCTTTCGAAGGCACTCCTGAGCCAACACACTATCCCTGGGAGCTCTTCTTACCTCTCCTCAAGGCATTCTGGGCGTCTTGAGTCATGGCGTCAGCTTCATCCAGGATCACTAGTTTGAAGCCTTTCCTAGGAAAACAAATGGTACCATCTGAAGATTTCTTCAGTCTCACCTCCACTTCCAGGCTCAAACCTACACGTACAATTGTGCCATAAGGCCCTGCCTCAGAGAGTCCATTCCTCCTTGACCTCTGAGCGAAGCAGACATCTGTGGTCACACAGAGGACATGCCCGTCACTCTCCACTCTTAAAGGGACTGAGGTCTGACTTGGGTATTTTTGTTACATTGTTTCCTCTGGCACCTCTACCTTTCTTCTGCGCACACTGGGTATCCTGTTACTCGGGGCGTGGCATTGCTTTTTCCCACCACCTTCGCCCTTCACTCATGCCTGTCTTTTCATCTTTTCCTTTGTTTACCACCATCCCCGTTGTCCATCCCGATCTCAATTCATTTTTGTTTAAATTCAAACTAGCTCATCTGGTCTTAGGATGTCCTCAGTCTTCGGGTAACTAATAAAATGAGTTAATGCTTCCCAAAGAACTTGCTAATATAGACTTAGGTAATGTTTTATTTTGATATTTACGTTATTTCTTACTAGCGTCCTTGTACTTTACCTCTTTTTCATGGCTACTTTTGACAATGTCATTTGTTACCTTTACAGACTAGCAAAGGGGAGGATTAAAAAAATTAAGCTCTGTCATTTCACTGATCAGAATCTCTAGGGAGAGAAATTATGCAAATAATTCTTACTTGAATATTGTCCTTGTGCTAGCAAAGCTCAGGATTGGCCCCCGAACGATATCTATTCCTCGGTCGTCTGAAGCATTCAGCTAAGTGTGAAAGAGAAGCCAGAGTAAATTAGAAATATGTTGGTGATTTCCATCAATCCAGCTTGGCAAGCTAGGTCTCTAGGTCTAACGACACCTACGAGATAAACACTATTAAAAAGCCAAGATCACAACTGTATTTAAAACTCCCAACTCGCTACACCATTCCATTACATTCTGAAGGGCAAATGACTGTGTTTCCTCCCCCTTTCGAGGACAACCGCTGACGTACTCTGGCAGAATAATTAATTGGCCTGGCCACAGTGAACAGCACCTCTGGCATGAACAGAATCATGCTAATTTTAGCTACCGAAACCCAGAGCAACCCAGAAGTTACCCAGTCTTTAACACACTCAAGTAAGAACATTGGTGGCAGCAAGGTTCTAAGATCTATAACAAAAAAATAAGCTAGACATTTTTTTTCTTGCAGTAGACAATATTTAAAATTTTGTAATCTAAGGGTATCAGTCAAATCTCAGAGCAAACAGATGGCATACTCAAATTCAGTGATTTGAAGAGAATTACATGAAGAGACATTTTAAACGGTGGGGTGTGGGGTAACCAAAAGAGCTATGCAATACCTCTGCAACTGCTGGGGCCCATTACCAACCCCAAGTCTTGAGAGGTGAGTGGGCAGGGGGGGTGGTGTTGGCACCGTTGGACAAGGCTGTGGGATTTGCCCTGCGGGTGGGGATGCTGTCAGCCTGTGGTGACCCCCAAGACAGAACCAGGCATCATTCTCCCTCCCCCGACTCCTGCCAGGGCCCCTATTGGCCAAACCTAACCAGGGGGAGCCAAAGGACAAGGCAGCCTGTAGTCAATACAGCTCAGCCTTCCAGGGCAAGAACAGCGGGGGGCCACATGGAGGAGAAATCTGGACAGGCACATGGGAGACAGCAAGCCACCGAGTGACCACTCACTGAGTGACCCCTGAGTGTTGGCGTGTAAGTTGGCAGAGGCAAAGAAAAATACCTAGCCCTACCACTGCCCTCTAGCTAATGCGAATCCAGACCCAAGTGTCAATTCTAGATAAAAGCCACTCGAGGTATTTTATGTCTGTTCCTTTCCCCACCTCTAGCACAGCAACTTACTTGTAAAGTAAGACAAATCTAAGAGAACTAAGAGACTCGAGTTCTTTGCGGAGTAAGAAGAATCCTCTTATTTACCTCCAAGACCATGGAGCCAAATTCCTTATCTTTGTATAGCTGTTTCGCACAGGCTAGGATGGTGGAGGTCTTTCCCGTCCCTGGAGGACCATAGAGAAGCAGGTGGGGCAGGCGGTCTTCACTAATAAATTTCTGAACTGAGGGTCAGGAAGAAAGAGAGACCCCATCAGTTTCCGAGAGTTGCCTCATTCACCGTGGGCCCTTGAGTTGGCTTGAATTTACTTCAACACTACATTCAAATCAGAGGTAGATGCAGGAATGAAAAATCTGAAGGACTCAGATCTTACGGCAACATTCCATAAAGCTCAGTCAGATACTTCAAGGTTATTACTCAGCAGAGACATCACCAAGAAATGATACGGTCCTCCAACTAGAATGACAGCAACTGACACATGGATGCTTACTGGTACTCAAAATGTCCTGATGAGAAATCAGATCATTCAGTGTCTGTGGCCGGTACTTTTCAACCCTGAAATACAATTTAGCATGGATTACAATATATACAAACGCAAGAACATGCTGTCACGTGCAAAAGAATCCTTTCATATCCTAATGAAAAGAGGAAGAGAAATAAAATCCTTTAACTTTTAATACAGACCACTGGTTCTCAACCAGGGGCAATTTTGTCCTTCAGGAAACACTTGGTGATACCTGGAGACATTTTCAGTTTGTCACAATTGGGTGGAGGGTGCTACAGGCCTCCAGTGGATAGGAACCAGGGCTGTCACGAAACATCCTACGATGCGCAGGACAGCCACCATGCCCGCCCCCACCAAGTATCTAGCCCAAAATGCCAATAGCACTGCTCTAATTTCACCTTTCCAGCTGTCTGCCTATAAACAATCTCAACCTGGATGGGCACCTACTATTTCAAAGTAAATTAAAAACTGAACTCTTTGGGGCACTTGGGTGGCTCAGTCGGTTAAACGTCTGCCTTTGGCTCAGTTCCTGATCTCAGGGTACTGGGATTTTGCCCTGCGTCGGGCTCCCTGCTTAGCGGGGAGTCTGCTTCTCTCCCTCTGCACACCGCCCGCCTCATGCTCGCTCTCTTTCTCAAATAAAAATCTTTTTAAAAAAATTGAACTCGGGCGCCTGGGTGGCTCAGTTGGTTAAGCGACTGCCTTTGGCTCAGGTCATGATCCTGGAGTCCCGGGATCGAGTCCCACATCAGGCTCCCTGCTGAGCAGGGAGTCTGCTTCTCCCTCTGACCCTCTTCCCTCTCGTGCTCTCTCTCTCATTCTCTCTCTCTCAAATAAATAAAATCTAAAAAAATAAAAAAAATTAAAAAAATAAAAAAATAAAAAAAATTGAACTCGTACCCAAATATACATCAGAAGATGAATGGATAAATAAATGGCGGTCTATCCATATAATGGAATATTATTCACCCATAAAAAGGAATGAAGCACCCACACCTGCTACAACATGGATGAACCCTGAAAACATGATCCTATGAAAGCCCCCAGTCACAAAAGGCCACATACTGATTCTATTTATATGAATATCCACAATAGGCAAATTCAGAGGAAGGGGACGTGGGGATGGGGAGTACCTGCCAATGGGTATGGAGTTTCCATTTGGGGTAAAATGAAAAAATTTGGAACTAGACAGTAACATGGTAGCACAACGTTCTCAACGTACTCAAAGTCACGGAATTATACACTTTACAATGTTTACAACTGTAAACTGTATGTTATGTGTTTTTTCCACGATAAAAACAAACTGAACTCCTTATTAGACAAGACCAACTTGGACCTTTCTGAAGAAATCAAGCCGAATCCCTTCAGTTCCTAAAACATCATTCAGACGCAGCTGTGGAAGTAGGATGGTTATGAGTGCAAGTTCTGAATTCACCTGGGTTCAAATCCCAACTTATTTTCTAGCTCCGGACCTTAGGCAAGTCCTTTAACTTTTTGGTTTTACAACTGGAATAATAACTACCTAGGCTCTTTGTAAAGATCAAACATCTAGCAGGGTCCTTGCTAATCTAGTAGGAAGCCACTTAAATACAACTTAACTGGGGAGCGTTATTATCGTCATTATTATTTCAGTTTAGAATTTGAGCAATAATTGCATTGAAGATTCCAGCAAGAGTAGAGAGCATTTTGGCACGAAGGCCGATGCGAAGTCAGAAGACGCGGGATCTAACCCCTGGGCTGTCACCCGGTGCGTAAAACGAATAGGGGCGGTGGGAGTAGGGCAGCGGGAAGGCCTGTAAAAAATCCTAGAAGAACGGAGGGGACTGGGGAGCTGGAGATGTCAAGGCGAAATTCTGGGGCGAGGTCCGGGCCGCAGGTCGGGGGCGGTGGGGCGAGGTCCGGCGGGCTGCGGCCTGGCCGCTGGCCCACCCCGGCCACCGATCCCCCTTCCTGCGGCAGCCGGGCCTCCTCCTACCAGGGCAGGTTTCTGATCTTGGCCGCCGCGGGCTGCTGCTGCTCCTGCTGCGCCGAGGTCTCCATGGCGGGGTGATAAAGGTGTGCGGGTCCGCTGGGATCGTCGCGGCCCCGAGGGACCTGCACAGCCACTAGCCGCGCCCCGACCCCGGGACCCGGGCACTTAGAGTTCGCGCGCAAAAGCAACTCTCGCGAGATGTAGCCTCCTGCTTCCGACTTCCTCCCTAGATCCCGCCCCCCTCCCCGTTGCCAAGGCGCCGGTTACCAGGTTACCGGGAGGCGCCGGCCGCCCGCCACCCTCCCGGTCCGCCCTTCCAGCCCCGCGCGGCCCTTTCGCCGGAGCGGCGGGGCTTCCTGAGCCCGGGGACGGGGGGAAACAAGAGAGGCCAGGTCACCCCCTGCAGCCGCCAGTCATCATTACAAACTAAAGTCTCGCGGCCAAAGCCAATTTCAGCTACCACCAAAGTTCAGACACTTACCGTTCAAAGGAACAGAGAGCCTCCAGCGATGAAAACCCCCCGAGGAAAAACAGCCCCAAATGACAGGGCCAGTTCTTGAATATAGATGCCCTAGGAAAAAAGCCTCGAAATAAGCTGGGAGGTGAGTACTTCGAATTGATAAACAACTCCAAACACACACAATTCCAATCTACCTCCCAAGCCATGCCCCTCACCCAACAAAATCTAAAGAACCAAGCTCCAGAAACAACCCCAGAGTGAAAACAAAAAATAAACTCCCAGTTAAGGTTAATATGTGTAACTGGAAAGGGCTGGTCACTAAGCACAGAGGACAGGGTCCCTATGACCTGAAGACAGGAGAACCAGTATGGAAATTTTAGTGCCTTTTTCTGCGATGAGGTGATTATGGACCACTTTGATTTTCTCCTATTTCGCTGGTCTGTATTTCCCAGCAACGAGTATGTATATTACATATTACAGATTACATACTTTATGCGTAATAAAGCTTTTTTATTTTATTTTATTTTTATTTTTTAACGTGTTGAGAAAAACAATAGGGAGAAGAGAGGAGGCTGGGCTGGGGTCAGAAGTGTTCTGATTCAGAAACACCTGCTCTTTGCACCTTATTACATCACTGGCACCTGCTCTAGGAACAGAGTAGAGGGACTGTGGGGCAAATACATGATGGTGGTTATGCTTCACGCTAGCCCCTGCCTGGAGAGTCAAAAGAAGGGGGGAGGGTCAGATGTGGCTTGTGGTGTGACAGTGGCCAGCTCTTAACTCTGCTTGTTCAGATCCATAGTCTGCCACTTTGCCACTTAGCTTTGGGCATCTGGCTTCTCTCCGTGTCCAATAATCTCTACTCCAAAGGTGCCTGCCAGGATCAAATCACACATGTAAAGCAGCAGGTACATTACCGCCTTACTCTCTCCTTCCCTTCTAGGACACTCTCCACCCACCCTGTTCTTGTTTCAAATGTTTCCTCTCAAGCAAGACCTACTCAAGAATTGGCTGGTGTGACTATGCCCGCGAGGGTTGATTTCATGTGTCAACGTGACTGGACTCTGGACGCCCAGAGAGCTGGTAACATATTATTTTGGGGCTGTCTCTGAGGGTGTTTCTGAAAGAGACTGGCATTTACTCAGATTGGACTGAGTAAAGATCGCCTCACCAGTGCGGGTGGGCATCATCCCTCATCCCTCATCACTGAGGGCCTGAATAGAATGGAAAGGCAGAGGAAGGGTGAATTCGCTCTCTTTTTGAGCTGGGATATACATCTTCTCTTGCCCTCAGATACCAGCGCTCTTGATTCTCAGGCCTTTGGATTCACACTGAATAACACCACTGGCTCTCCTCAGTCTCCAGCTGGCAGACAGTACATCGTGGGACTTCTTGGCCTCCATCATCGTGTGAGCCAATTCCTAGGATATATAAAATATAAATATGAATATAAAAATATAAAACATATTTAAAATACAAAATATATTAATTATACATATACGTTATTGATATATAAAACATAAATAATATATATCAATATACATATACAATGTAAAATGTATTCTTTTAAAGATTTATTTATTTATTTATTTGACAGAGAGTGACACAGCGAGAGAGGGAACACAAGCAGGGGGAGAGGGGAAGGGAGAAGCAGGCTTCCCACGGAGCAGGGAGCCAGATGTGGGGCTCAATCCCAGGATCCCGGGATCCTGACCTGAGCCAAAGGCAGATGCTTAATGACTGAGCCACCCAGGCATCCCTGTAAAATGTATTTTAAGTCTACATAATAAAAATATAAATGACATATATATATAGCCATTTTGCTAAGGGACCTTTATATTAGAAACATGATGCCACCACCTCCTTGAGCTGGAAGATGTGAACGAGACTGGACCAAGTTCTCATAAAACTCTGTGTGCACCTGCTGTTCAGTTTCCTTGGAATGCAGAATTCTTCTGCGTGACATTATATTATATATTTACAAGGTCATGTGTTGTGTGCCTTCCCAATGGATTTTAAGCTCATTGGGAGGCAAGGCTTTGATTTATTCACCAATAGATTCCTGGTGCCTGGAACAGTGCATGGCTCAAAGGCACTCAATTAATAATTGTTCCATGAATGAATGAATGAATGAATGAATGACAATAGTTAATACTCTTTAGGCAGTTACTATGGGCCAGACACTGTTCTAAGTGCTTTGCTTTACGTTTATTACACTCACTTTATAATTTGTTGCGATGAGCCTGAGCCCCTATCATTAGCCCCATTTCATAGGCATGTTAAGTAACTTGCCCAAAAGTTTAGTAGGTTTTGTGACTTGGTGTAAGGGGCACAACTGGATCTAACCAGGACTATGTGATTCTATAGCCCAAACTCTTAGCCGCTCAGCTAGTGTGGTCCCTGGACTAGCAGCAGGAGCATCCCCTGGGAACTTGTTAGAAATGTTAATTATTCTTCTCCCCACCCCAAAACCACTGAATCTGAAACTCTGGGGGTGGGCCCAGCCATCTGTGCTGTAACAGGCCCTCCAGGGGATTCTGATGCACTCAAGTTTGAGAACCACTGCCCTACACTCCTCCTGCTTCTCAGTCCTTGAGCTCACCATGACTTCACTTTCTAAGAAAGAGAATGGGTACTCACTTGCATACTCTGGAAAAACAGACGTGTCCATATAATATGTGTGTGTGCGTGTGCGTGCGTGTGTATGTGTGCTTTTGTGTGTTTCTGTTTTGTTATTAATTGAATTAATTGAAGGTACAGTCCTTTGGGCAAGTTACTTAGGTGTCTTTGGACCTCAGTATTGGCATTTGTGAAATGGGCAGGGGTAGGGGGCTGGATTAGAGAGAGGGAGAACATTAAGAGCACCTGAGGATTTTACAAAATTCTAATACGTGAAGCCCAGCCAGACCAATTAAATTTGGCCTTTGGGAGTGGGACTAAGCACTAGCAGTTTTAAAAAGCTTCCCAGGTGATAATAGTACGCTAAAATCGTACTAGGGCCTGTTGTGAGCCAATCACAGCAATCCTAGCCCCCGATTGGCTTAAAGGTGAGCATATGACCCAGTTCTGCCCAATGAGATGTAAGGGGGAAAAGGGGAGAGGCGCCTCTGGGAAAGTTTCCTCCTTATGAACTTCGTGGATCCTTGCACGGGCGATCTTTAGCCTCTCTCCCAGAGGAAAAATTCTGTCACCTTGAAGAGAAAGAGATAAAGACCCAAATTACAAGCTCACACGTCTCTAAGCAGCCTAGGAGTTAGTACATAACAAGAGGGCTGGGTGGAATCTATGCCCTGCCGCTAGGGAGCGGCGTTTGCAGGTGGAAGATTTAAGCAGAGAAGGAATGTAGTAGCGAAATATTGGCTGGCTCAGCATCAGTTGGAAGGCTGGAGACCCCGACTTGGAAAATGGAACAAAGACAGGCCAAGGAACTGAAACCATGGTCAAAATTATGCCACGGAAGAAAACCAGTAAGGAAAGTGCAGCTGCTTCCGACCTTCAGGAGCCACTGCCCCCGCTGCCCCCCTAGACAATGGATGTCGCTTTCCCAAACATTTCCACCGTCAGAAAGATTTCACCACTTCTGTCCTGCAGTGGATGCTAACTGAAACTAGCGCCCCATTAAAAGTCTGGGGAGACATGCCTAATTGTCCAGTCGGGGGTTGCATGTTGGCTAGTCCCTGGTATATGGTTTGAATGGCGGGAAATGACTTCTGCCTCCCACCGCTTGTGAACTGAGGACATCCTTGAATATAGATAGGAGAGGGGTTCAGATGCTGGCCACCAAAGGATCACAAATGTTCACTTGCCAGTATTCAGCCATGACGGACGGCAGCCAAAAGTTGCCAGAACGTATGATTTTTTTTAAGGGAAATCAGAAATTTACATTTTTATGTGAAATTATCGTATGTTAAACATTGGCAACTAATTAAAAAAAAAAACTTGCTGGTCAAGCACAAATGTTGGGTCATTTTGTGACTTTTTCTCTCTCAAGTGCAGATGATCAGGCAAAAGATACAGTCATTTCTTCTCACCCTCTGCCTAGATTGTAGACATTCTGGAGGAATAAGGGTAAATCAAGTTGGTATCTCCATGTGAATTGTGACATTGATGAGCATAGGCACAAACTTCTCTTATGTAATCAGAACCAGATTTGGAAATGCTTTAATAAAACAGTAGGTCCTAGAGATGGCAGGATCAGAAGTTACAAACAAAATTACCAATGAAAGGCATTTGCTCTCAAAATTGAATTAGGGAAAGGGAGCCCTGGATCTTATTACTCTTAGCTTTGGAACAAACTTGGCTTTGGACACAGCACTTACTGCCTTAGTTTATTTTTAAGATTTGTTCTTATGAGAGAATGGGATGCGAGGCTATCTTTGGAAGATGCTGGCAGAAGAAAATCAAACTGGGTCTTTCTCCTGAGCATGTTTATACTGGTGAAATCATGTTTAAATGAAGAGCAAGGACTTCAAGGAGGAAAAAATCTCAAAGGGCAATTTGAAGTGTTTGTGTAGAGGAAGGGCCATCTTCTTTGGTGACCACAGCAAAATCATTGACTGATAAGGAATGTAAATCTTCAGATCTTTTGGGGCCCTTGCCCCCTTCAATGACTTTCTCTTGTCGGAAACCCCAGAATGCCCCATATCAGGGTTTAGGGAAATCCATTCATCATCCCCTAATGTGTGTTAATTGAATAACTAAGGAATGGTTATTTTTTGATTCCTGAATCTGATGCTCTTTAAGTTTGAGATTGAAAGGGTGATTCATATGAATTTGCTCCATGGGCTCAAAAAATTTCACATTTCTTAATTTTTCTAAATTACATATAATGTGGCTCAAGGTCCTCCACTGTCTCTTCCTCAAGCCAAGGGAGTTTGGAAATTCATTCTGTGGGAGTTGGGTTCCTTCCCTTCCCTGGGGTCATTTAAGAAGGCTAAGAGGTTGTGGGGAAATAGGCCAGAACATTTGAGGAAGGGCTTTTAGTCTTCAGTTGTTCCTATAGTCTGTTGGAATAGATGCTCTTTGTCATCAGGTTTGAGGTTTAGACTTCCCTGTGCCCCTCCTTTGAAATTCTGCCACCTTCTCCTTCTCACCCACTTACTAACTCAAAGTGAGTTTCCAGAACCAATAGTATCAACACTCCTTGGGAGCTTGTTAGAAATGCAGAATCTCTGGACCCACTCCAGGACTCCTGAATCAGAATTGCATTTTAACAAGGTCTCCAAGCAGCTGGTGTGCAGATTTCAGCTGAGAAGCCCCAGATACCACATAATGTATCTCTCTCCCACCATCTTGCTCTCACCGCTGTTCTGCATCTCTAGTGTGGAATTCATCAGGGAGTAGGGCCACTGGCCTCTCACGTAACACTCCCACCCCCTTCTGCTAAGGGCCTAGCATTTTGGTAATTCAACTCCAAGTCCCAAAGTTCCTAGTCTCCCCTGAGCCAGGCAAACCCAATGCTCTAGGACTCTGAGGCTTAATTGCTTGGGGAAAAGAAAAAAAAACCCAAAACCCTTAGTTTTTGGTGATGAGTCTACAGTAGAAAGTAAGTCCAGTTAATTTCTCCACCACATTATACCTAATAATAGGCCCTCTGGGCTGTGAAATTTTAAAAATACTTCTTCTTCTGGAGTCTTCCCTGATTCCCTCTAGTTTGAGCCCAGCATAATTGCCCTGGGCTAGAATCTCTGGGGCCATCTTGATTGAAAAAGAGGAAAAGGTGTTAATAAGGAGGGGATGGAAGTTTAGTTCCATTATCCTGGCTCTGTTCGGTGCTGGTCCAGCCATGGACCACACTGCCGTTGGGTCTATGGAACAGAATTGCAAGGCAAAAAGCAGTTGGTGTGTACCTGTTGTACAATCTTTGTGCAAAACAAGGGGACCGTTTCTCTCCCCTCTCTCATCATAGAAGGGGCCCCGGGGGATGCAGCAAAGTGAGAAATAGACCTTAATATTGGCAAAAGACTGCAGATTCAATTCGAGGATGAATAGTAATAAGAAAATGCAAATTACTATCATTATTTACGTTGCATGGCAGAGTTACACAACACTTTATTATACAGTAGATGCTACACAAAGAACTGCTATTTATAGACATTTTGTCCTGTTCCTCCAATCCCCCTAAACTCATGCTTTCAAAGCATCTGGCCCAAGTTCAATGGCAATGTGATTTAAAAAAATACATTTATTTTAAATATATGCAATACTGAAAAATAAAACAAGAAGAGCCAAGGCTGCACCAGGTCAACGTGGAGAATTTTTAAGCTCGAAGATATTTTAAGTGTTTCAAAGATATAGATGTTCAAAACATACTTTTAAAAATTCTTTCAACTTAAGAGAAAGTGTATTTTTTTTTAAAGGGAGGTACCTTAGAATTCAATCTTATTCCAAACTGAAGATACTTGGCAGATGTGCAGCAAA